GCAACATGAATAAAAGATGGAATCAAGTTAAAACAACACAAATCAATGCACTTTCTAGATATCGTACAAATCATACAGACGATACTAAATCATGAAGGAAACCATATTCCTATATAACATTTATGACATAAAACAAAATAGAGCTCAGCGTACAAACCATAATCAAATCACATCACAGGAAGATTATCTCCACAAACAATCCTTACTAGAGCATCAGATACTCGGTCTGGAGCAAGCATTCCACGCTCAACAAGGCTTTGTAAATACTCAGCTCTCGTGATCCAATCCGTTGACGTACCGGGACACACTTGGCTCATCACGAACTCTCCTGATCGTTGCCAGAGAGGAGGTTGCCTTGCCCTCACAGATCTTCTGGGAGCTGGCGTAGGTACCTGTGGTTCATCCACATCTCCATCTTCTTCCTGGATCGTAGCACCTCCAGCCTCGTCGTTCCTGGAGACTTGGTCGTCACCTGGTGGTGCTACATCCACTGCCTCAGACTGAATATGGTCGTCGCCATTTGCAGACTGAGCAGCCCCATCTTCAGGACTATCAGGTTCCGGAGTATCCTCCTTGGGACTTGCTAGAATCCCATTCTCCATGTCCGATAGCGGGCCCTGTAAAGTATCCAAAATGACGACAGATTTGTCGACATCTTCATCAGAGTCGTACTCCGATAAATTACCTGTATCCTCTGGCTTAGTCTGTGTCCTCTTCTTAGTAACTTATGTTTCTGATGTAGTTTTCTTTTCCTGGTTCGTCTCGTTTCCATCATGAAGAAAGTCGATAGGTAAAAGTAAATTACGGTGTAAAGTCCTTTCCTTCCCATCACCATTACATCTCTTTACAACATACACAGGAACATCCGGATTTGGCTGACGGAGAACCACATAATCTTCCGCTTCCCACTTATCGGAAATCTTATGTTTGCCCTCGAAAGCCACAATCCGCACTAGTACTCCCCGTCTTGTAAATCAGCCGCTCTGGCTCTTCTGTCGTAATCTTCTTCTGGTGCTTTGATGCGGAAGCTGTATGACTCCTGGCTAAGTTATATGCCTTCTTCAGATTATCACGAAGCGATGAGACATATCCTGAAAGAGTTTGATGTTTTCCTCCTATATCTACTCCGAATGCCAAGTCGATAGGTAACCTGGGATGCCTGCCAAACAAGAAGAAGGGCGAGTAGCTTGTGCTATCATGCCGGATGCTGTTGTATGCATGAACAAGCGGACCAACGTGCCTTTTCCAGTCCCCTTTCTCCTTCGGATCCAAAGTACCCAACATCCCAAGCAACGTTCTGTTGAATCTTTCACAACTTCCATTACCCATCGGGTGGTAAGGCGTAGTCCTACTCTTCTTGATGTTGGCCATGGCACATAGCTGATGGATTAACTCTCCAACGAAATTGGCACCTTGGTCAGAGTGTATCCGTCGAGGCATTCCATAATGCACCACGAAGTTATAAAAGAAGGCTTCCGCTGTGGTCTTGTCCGTCTGGTTTTCGTCGGAATGGCTTGGGCTTATTTCGTGAAGTGGTCGGTCACGACGAGAATGTGTTGGAATCCTCCTAAAGTGAGAAAATCCATGCACACTAGCTCTAGTGGCTGCGTCGTTTGAATATTCACTAATGGTGCCTTCTGAGTAACAGCCTTCCTTGACACACAGCGTCGGCTTTTCACCCATCTCTCCGCGTCCTGGTTCATTCCCGGCCAATAGAATCTCTCCTGCAACAACGACAATGTCCGATCACGACCAGGGTGTCCAACAGAATTATGGAGACCATATAATGCCTGTTTCCGGTAAGCAGAAGGTAACACAAGCTGCTTCCGTGTTGCTCCATCTTCTGTAACTCCACGGTACAGTACACCCCTCTCAATCTTCAACCTGTCAAATGATCGCAACATAGCTTGCTGATCAGGATCCAATTGTCTTTTGTCAGGTTTCCTGCTGTTTTTGACACAGAATATCCAGTGTCGAAGTGCTGGGTCTCTATCCTGTGCCCGTCTCCAGTCTCTAGAAGACAATTCCTGAAGATCCTGGTCGGTGTCCATGCAATGACCATCAAAAACTGCAGTAGACATGGAAACAGTCTCAATCAAAGACACTGGCTGCTGAACAGAACTACATATGGCCTTGACCGAATCCAGAGAGATATCACTCACGGATGTAGACTGCTCCTCTCCATCAAAATGGCAAGGTAATCTTGACAAGATATCCGCAACTGTATTGGTCCTTCCTGGCTTATAAATGATGTTGAAATCATATGCAGATAACGCAGCTAACCACCGATGTCCGGTTGCATCTAACTTGGCAGTGGTCAAAACGTACGTCAGAGGGTTATTATCTGTGGTTACCGTAAACTTCCTTCCATACAGATAATCTGAAAATTTGTCGGTTACGGCCCATTTCAAGGCAAGGGATTCCAGTTTATGTGCAGGGTAATTCCTCTCAGATTTTGTCACACCCCTGCTGGCATAAGCGATGACACGTAATCTACCATCTTGCTGCTGGTAGAGAATGGCTCCAAGACCTTTCCCGCTTGCATCGGTATGCACCTCAAATGGCAAGTCATATACCGGATAGCCAAGAATGGGAGGTGAAGATAAAATATCCTTCAAGGTCTGAAATGCTGTTTCCTGTTCTTTTTCCCACTTCCACCCAGGTAAGTCCGACTTCTTTGAGTGGCCTTTGTTCCGTGTAGGAGGTAACAGTCCATTCAATGGTTTCACAATTGCTGAAAATNGCAGGATCCAATTGTCTTTTGTCAGGTTTCCTGCTGTTTTTGACACAGAATATCCAATATCGAAGTGCTGGGTCTCTATCCTGTGCCCGTCTCCAGTCTCTAGAAGACATTTCCTGAAGATCCTGGTCGGTGTCCATGCAATGACCATCAAAAACGGCAGTAGACATGGAAACAGTCTCAATCAAAGACACTGGCTGCTGAACAGAACTACATATGGCCTTGACCGAATCCAGAGAGATATCACTCACGGCTGTAGACTGCTCCTCTCCATCAAAATGGCAAGGTAATCTTGACAAGATATCCGCACCTGTATTGGTCCTTCCTGGCTTATAAATGATGTTGAAATCATATGCAGATAACGCAGCTAACCACCGATGTCCGGTTGCATCTAACTTGGAAGTGGTCAAAACGTACGTCATAGGGTTATTATCTGTGGTTACCGTAAACGTCCTTCCATACAGATAATCTGCAAATTTGTCGGTTACGGCCCATTTCAAGGCAAGGAATTCCAATTTATGTGCAGGGTAATTCCTCTTAGATTTTGTTACACCCCTGCTGGCATAAGCGATGACACGTGATCTACCATCTTGCTGCTGGTAGAGAATGGCTCCAAGACCTTTTCCACTTGCATCGGTATGCACTTCAAATGGCAAGTCATATACCGGATAGCCAAGAATGGGAGGTGAAGATAAAATATCCTTCAAGGTCTGAAATGCTGTTTCCTGTTCTTTTTCCCACTTCCACCCAGGTAAGTCCGACTTCTTTGAGTGGCCTTTGTTCCGTGTAGGAGGTAACAGTCCATTCAATGGTTTCACAATTGCTGAAAATCCTTTCACAAATTTGCGGTAATAACCACAGAATCCTAGAAACCTTCTTACATCCTCAGGGCAAGAAGGTTTAGGCCAGTCCACGATCTTTTGCACTTTGTCTGGATCCGCTTCAATGCCATCGGCTGACACTATGAAGCCAAGAAACTTCACTTTCTTCTTGAAGTATGAACACTTCTGTGGAGCCAACTTCAGACCATGACATCTGATCTTGTCGAATACCATCTGCAGTCGGTCAAGATGTTCACTGAATGTCTTGGAAAACACAATAATGTCATCAATATATACAAAACAAATGGTGGTATGTAGCTCTCCCAGACATTCCTCCATTAATCTCTGGTATGTGGCTGGAGCATTCACTAATCCGAACGGCATCCGATTAAACTCATAAAAACATAAAGGCCCAATAGTGAAAGCAGTCCGTTGTTTGTGGTCCTCGTGAAGTTCCACTTGATGGTAACCACTCTTCATATCAAGCGTAGAAAAGTAGTCACAACCTGATATAGAGTCCAAAATTTCTTCCACCCTAGGAAGAGCATAAGCATCTTTTATAGACCTAAGATTCAGCTGTCGGTAATCTATGCACATTCTCAAGCGACCATCCTTTTTCCGAACTAATACAACTGCTGATGCCCAGGGTGAATGTGATCGACGTATGACTCCGATTGTCAAGAGTTGGTGTAGGTGATCACGAACTTCACTAAGCATGGCAGGTGGAATACGCCGATGACGTTGTTTGAATGGCACCTCATCTGTAATTTCTATGCGGTGATGAACAGCTGAGGAATGACCAAGATCCAAATCATCCTTGGAAAATATATCTGGGAAACTAGAAATCATTTGCTTTCCACTGGATAACTCCTCTTCAGTAAGTCTGTCATCAAACTTCATCAGCTGTAGTAGGGAATCCATATCTGTATCTTTAGATGTAGGAGCATCAATTGATTCTGTGTTAACATCCTGTAAACATCCTTCTACCTTAACCGGCTGAAGTTCACATAACACAGCTCGAGGCTGTATGGTAACATTCCTGGTTGTGATGTTCGATATGATCACAAAAACAACACCAGTCCTTCTATAGCGGTATTGAATAAGGCTTGGCGAAATATCTAAATCATCCATCAATGATGACTCCTCAGATACTGTGAGATAAGCACTAGTTGGTGTATGCTCCACTTGACGATCCACAAAGCCATTAATGGTTACCTGGCTATTTGGCGATATCTGAACTGCAGTACCCTCTGCACTCTTGACAAGTCCAAGACGAAAATTATTCCGTACCAAGTTTCGCTGTCGTAGTGCCATACATCTGAAAGTGATATACCAGGATGTTGAGAGAGAAGCTCCCTTCAACAATCTGTCTCCGTAAACATACTTACATGCATCCATGATACCTGTCAAGATGTTGGTACCAACCAAAACTGGCACTTTGGAATTATACCTGGTATCCGGCACAACAAGTAACAACCCTGGCAACGATGAAGTATGACCGTCGATCCCAGTCTCAATGTCAGCCTTGATAAATCCATCATAGGGTAATGTCTCTCCTCCAGCACATTCGATATCCAATATGTTGTCAAGGCACTGAAGTGGCAAATGACTGAGGTAAGTATCATACAAATGTCGACTAACAGTGCTTACAGCTGACCCTGTGTCTAGTAATGCAGTGGTACACACTCCTGCAATCTTAAGCTCTTCCTCACTGCAGTCTCCAACTAACTCAGTATTATCCTTCCGAACGTTAGGGCATTGCTGACTGATCATGCCTACTGGTGCCCCTGGCCTGTAGGCATCTGAACGTTTAAAGACTTCCTGCTGTGCTCCAAATTCACATGGCAATCACGTCTCATATGTCCAGATTGTCCACATCTCCAGCAGAGCGGTCCATTTCCATCAGTATTTCTTCTAAATGGCACAACTTGCCTCCTATTCTGAGTGTGTTCCTGAGGTGATGCTTGATAACCCTGACGTGCCCCATAAGTGGACTGTTGACCATAACTGGAAAGATTCCTACTCTGTTGTAAAGTGGATATGTCCTTCTTCAACTTAGACATCTCAGAAGTTAAATCTTTTACCAAAGCTTTCATTTCTTTAATGTCATCACTGTGGTGAATGGCTACTTTAGCAGTCTTGGGCTTCTCAGGTGAAGAATCTGCTTGCTCAATCTGTCGAACAGCAATACGCAGCTTGTCATAGTCTAAGATGGTATCGAACTTATAACCGGTGATGTCACGTAATGACTTCTTAAGTCCTCGCCAGAATTTGGTACGCAACATCTCTGACACTTGTGTTGGAGTAAGTTCGCATCTGGTCCTAGCCTTGTCTAGTATATCTTCTAGTCTGCCAGCCCATGATGTCACATCCTCTGTATCTGTTTGCTTGGCAGAGTAAAACTTGGCAAGTAAATCCTCAGTAGCAGCAATATTACCATAGTTGCTGACCAGCTTGTCCAGTACCTGTTGAAGTGTTGCTGAAGAACCAAGTCTCATCGCTGTTTTTCCTGCTTCTCCTCCCAAGGATCTTCTCACAGCCTGAAAAATAGCATGATCTTTGTATACACCATCTCGCTGTAACATCTTGACCTCATATATCCATTGGTCATAGGAGACCTCTCCATTAGGAACTTGAGAACATCCTGAGAATATGGAGATCTTTGGAACATTGTATGAAACACTTGATTGGTTACTGGGAGGTGCAGCATCCTCTTGATGACCTTGAACGTCTGCCTGTGGTGAAGGATCCAACACTTCTAATTTTACATTGGGATTTTTGGATTTGGCTCCTCCTGATAATAGATCAGCTAACCATTTAGCTGCAGCATCCTTAGACTCCAAGTTAGGTTTGAGGTCCATGCTCGAAAATGCCTCCAA